GTTTCTCACTCTGCTTTCTAACCCAATCTTTTATGCTTTAGTTTCATTCCTTGTTGATGCAGAGTTTTCTGCAACTCCGTGTTTTTTATTTATTTATTTTCTTTCAAAGATTCATGGATTGATGGGAATATCTTTATCTGATATGTCTGATATCATATAGGTAATTAATTTTTAAAGACCTCTGCCTTTTATCATTTCAGAAAAATGAAACATCCTTTTCTCAACTTTTTTTCCTTTTGTCTGCTTTTGTTTCTTGTTTGGACTTCAAACACTTTACCATCTCTATGAACATGCATGGTTTTGGTGACTGGTATCAGAAATTTTTGGTCCGAGAAGGATTGTTTTGTTCCTTCCATTTTTGTATACTGATTGAAATTTCTTTTTCTTTTTGCAGAAGGTGGTATTGAAATTAGATTTACACGATGACAGGCAAAAGCAAAAGGCCTTGAAATCAGTCTCCAGCCTTACTGGTATGAACTAGTTAAGCAGATCAGTTTTTGTGTTTTTGGCTCCATCTGAACTTTTGATTCTTTAAATATAACGAACGTCAAATGCGTTCAATTATTTTAATTTTGAGTACATATTGGAGCATCCATGTAGCAGATTGTGACTGGACTCAAGAGAATTTTCAGTCATATATACTTTATTGAAATTTAATATTTCATGCACTTATTGGACTCTGTTTTTCCTCTGTTCTGTGATTTTTGCAGGCATTGACTCTATTGCTATGGACATGAAGGAGAGGAAATTAACCGTGATCGGCGACATAGACCCAGTCGATGTGGTAGCCAAATTGAGAAAAGGTTGGCACACAGACATACTAACAGTTGGACCAGCAAAAGAAGAAAAGAAAGATGAGAAGAAAGATGAAAAGAAAAAAGATGACGGCAAGGACGATGACAAGAAGAAAGTTGCTGAGCTTGTCAAAGCCTACGAAGCCTACAATCCTTACATGACCAAGTACTACTATGTGCAAAGTGCAGAAGAAAACCCTAATGCTTGTGTGATATGTTAAATTAATTTTGCCATTTAGGGCCAGTTAATTGAGGATGGTGAGCATAGCATGCAGTTTGATCATGTATTGGTAAGGCTTCTGATCTGAATCCTGTTTTTGAACCAACTCGAGGCCAACCAAAAGAACAGTTTGTGGTATGTACAGTATAGTACAAGTAGCTTGAGAATAAGTGTTTGAAAATTTCAAGCATTTTGGTAGTGACTGATATTCATTTTGGGGTTTTTCAAGTTTGCAGCAAATTGATCAAGCTAACATAATGGGTATACTGCCGATTTACCCCCTGAACTTGTACATGATTCTCAAATTACCCTCGGACTTTTTTTTTTAACGAATTAAGGGCTCGAATTAAATTTTATTATCAATATTCCCCCTACCGTCAAAATTCGAACATTTCATCCATTAATCCGTCAATTTGAGGGTTATTTTGGTCATTTCTAGTTTGGTAGGGTTGGACAGTCACCATCTCCATGTCGATATCTCCCTCAGCCCCCTTCTCCTTCTTGGACTTGCAACAGCCACACCCCACCCACCCTCCGCACCATTGCCTAGCCCTCCTAAAAAAAAATTCACAGCACACCCATCCCTCCCTCAAAAATAGAAAAAAAAGAAAAAGAAAAAAGAATTGACCCATACCTGCAACTCACGACCACCTCAAGCACAAAATCAAACTTGACCCAAATTTGTTAAACCTCTTTCTAATAGCATGGTCTGGTGTGCTGGTTTGGGAATCTTCCCTTCAAATATGGTGATTTTTGAGATGAGAAATTAGTTGAAGGTATGAATTTCTAAGCTGCTGGGAATCTTCTCTCTCTCTCTCTCTCTCTCTCTCTCTCTCTCTCTCTCTCTCTCTCTCTCTCTCTCTCTCTCTCTCTCTCTCTCTCTCTCTCTCTCTCTCTCTCTCTCTCTCTCTCTCTCTCTCTCTCTCTCTCTCTCTCTCTCTCTCTCTCTCTCTCTCTCTCTCTCTCTCTCTCTCTCTCTCTCTCTCTCTCTCTCTCTCTCTCTCTCTCTCTCTCTCTCTCTCTCTCTCTCTCTCTCTCTCTCTCTCTCTCTCTCTCTCTCTCTCTCTCTCTCTCTCTCTCTCTCTCTCTCTCTCTCTCTCTCTCTCTCTCTCTCTCTCTCTCTCTCTCTCTCTCTCTCTCTCTCTCTCTCTCTCTCTCTCTCTCTCTCTCTCTCTCTCTCTCTCTCTCTCTCTCTCTCTCTCTCTCTCTCTCTCTCTCTCTCTCTCTCTCTCTCTCTCTCTCTCTCTCTCTCTCTCTCTCTCTCTCTCTCTCTCTCTCTCTCTCTCTCTCTCTCTCTCTCTCTCTCTCTCTCTCTCTCTCTCTCTCTCTCTCTCTCTCTCTCTCTCTCTCTCTCTCTCTCCAGATAGATGGAAATCGCAAACAAATGGAGGACCAAGCTTGGAGGGCGAAATGAGAAGTGAGGTTCACCTGGATAATTCAATCCAAGCCGAATGACCAAAATAACCCTCAAAAGAGAGTCAACGTAAGTCAAATAGATGGATTAATGGATGAAATGTTTGAATTTTAACGGTAAGAGGAACATTGATAATAAAATTTAATTCGAGCCCTTAATTCGCTAAAAAAAAAAGTCAAGGGGTAAATTGAGAGTTATGTATAAGTTCAGGAGGCAATGCAGCAGTATACCCTAACATAATTAATCATACTTAGAACACTGTTTATCCACGGTTAACCTACCTAACCTCTATCAGATTCATGTTTGTTTTGATCTCTCAACTTCTTGTTAATTTGATATAATTCATCATCTGGGTCATTTAAATCAAAGGTGGGAAATCAACTTTTGTTTCTTTGACAAGTTGTTGAAGCTTTATTTTAAAACCCAAAAAGGACAATGATGCTATCAAGTTCTTTTTTGATATTGGAATAATTAATTTGAAATCTGTGGGATCAAGAAACCCACTTGTGTTTTATCAGGAACAAGCAGTGGCAAACAACTCAGTTCCAAACCCATAAAAAAAAAACAACCAAGGGCGGTGGCAAACAATGAATTTCACTTCTAGAAGGGACCAAAGCTTATGTTGAGTACTTTTCACAAGTATTTATACACATAAATGCATGTCATACATATTCTCAGTACTTTGAGGTTAAATTCAATACACCAGAAGAAGAAGAAGAAGAAATAATTGCAGTTGGTCCACATCCATTTTGAACTACAACCAAATGAAAGTATGTCAATTTATTTTTTCTTCATATGACAAATTTACTAGTAGCAATTGGTAACTTGAAAGGGCTGCTTTTGGATGATGTGAAGTTTCCAATTGGTAATGTCGCTGTTGCAGAATTATATGCATAAAAAAGAAATGTTAATTAATTATTTAGTTAGTGCCCCTATTATTGCAGAGGTTAAATGCAAATTTATAGACCAGGGCACAGGTTTGGCTTTTAGATGAAGTGAGAAGACAACTTTAAGTTGATTTTGGGAGAGCGGGGTTTTCTCACACACACTGCCAAGGTACTATGGAAGTTCGAACCTGAGACCATTGGTATGCAAATCAATGCCCTTTTTTACTAAGCTAAATTCCGTTGAGAAATAGAAGACCACTTTTATGCCAAACTTTAATGTTATCATTAAAATGTTTATATATGTGTAGCCATGGTCCTTGGACTTAATAGTGTACAAGATGAAGTCATCTTTTCATGCTTTTTTGTTTACCAATAATCTAACTAATCTTCGGTTTGTTTAAGCAAAACCCATCCCAACTCCATCGTACTTTATCCTTTGATGGGAACATAAGAGATAATAATGAGTGATTAATTTAAATTAATGTGAAGCAGATGGTGACATTGTAACAAGCAGAACAAGGATGAGTACTATTGAATTGATCACAGCTATCATGCTGATGAGCAGCATCTGCTTATACAAGCAAAAGATTTCTCAGAACATCCCCATTGCGGTGGGTGTTTTGCTCTTTTTGTCGCTTGGAAAAAGTGGATCAATGACATCACAGTTAACTTCCCTGCAGTGTCTTGGTGGTGGGTAACATTTAAGGTTTCTACAAATAAACATATCCATCTCCAGCTCCCTAAGAGCAAGTCCACCCATGAAGGCTAAGGCAAGGCAAAGGCAAGGCAAGGGCTGCCACTATTCATGTGAATAGTGGCAGCCTTGCCTTTTTTGGTTCCACCCCAAAAGGCTAGGGCAAGGGCAAGAAAAAAAAAAGATTATGCAACAAAATATAAACAATTTAGAAAGTGAATAAAATTGTTATGTATTTATAGGGAAAACATCCATAATATTTTGGTTTTTTTATATAAAAAAAAATTGAATTTTTTTTTATTTTTTTGATTTTTTTTATAATTTTTTTGCTTGCTGACATCAGCGTGACATCAGCGCTGACGTGAGCGCCTTCGGGCTTGAGCCCAGGCAAGATTTGCCCGTGGGCTTGCCCAGGCTGGTGGGTCCCATGCCTTGCCCAGGCTTGTTCTCTACCGCTGGAGTTGAATTGGGCTTGCCCGAGCAGCCTTTTGCCCGGTTTTGGTGTATGGCTGGAGGGGCTCTAATGAGTGTTTGTGAAGAAAAGGGCCACATCAAAAGTAAGGCTTCCTTGTGTTGAGGGGGACAGACCGGCCCGACCCCCTTTCCGATATGGGCCGGACTAAAACATCATAGTGATGAGTCATAGACACGGGTGCTGTAAACAGAAATTGAGGAGACCCCATGTCTCATGACAGCACGTGCACAATATATACTAGGGAACAATGAACGAAAACGATTTTCAATTCTCATGTGTTTTTTTAAGAAAATTCTGTTCCACAATAATGTTTTCCATGATGAAAATTGAACAAGATTTTTGCAGTCCACGTTCTTCTGGTCTAATATTGGTATATGGTCGTAAAGAGACCTGCTATGTATTGCTTTGCAGTTGCTTTCTCTGACTCTTAATGAAATGCATGAATCTATTAGGATTTCTCATATACACAATTGTTTTGATCTTATCTTAAAACATATTGATGTAAAACAATTAACATTGAATTAAATTATTCAAATATATTTTGTGAGAAATCATTACAAACAAATACAATCTTTTTTTCACTGAGTGAAAAGAAGGAAAAATGCACTTCACTCTGTAGGTAAAGGCTGAAGATTTGGCATGAAAATAATTTCACAAGAAAAGAATTTATAGTTTCTACCTAAGAAGAAGTAAGAATCTTTTGGTAGTCACGTTTTTTTAAGTCATGGCTCGAACCAGAGGCGATTGAGGCGACATCATGCACGGCGACATCATGATGTCATCCATTCGTCGCGATTTGAAGCTGAGCCTGAGGTTGTTTTGACAGAACCTGTTCTTCTTCCTTGGCACCACAGCCTCCTTATCTTGTTGCACAAAGGTTCGGATTCGCTTTAAAGCAATTTCCATGGTCTTGTCATCCATGTTGGCAAAGCAAACTCTGAACCAGCCTGGTTCAGGGCAATGAAAAGAAGATCCTGGTGACACATTGAGCTTAACTTCATGGATTATCGTGCGCCACAACGCCATCTCAGCTTCAAATGTCTGCTCCTTGAGGAGCTTGTGCAAGTCCATCCATACAAAGAGCCCACCATTGCTCTTCAAACAACTTGTGCCTACTTGTTCAAGCCCCATAGTGAAGCGCATGTGCCTTGCTTTCAGCCTTTGAGCACTTTGTGCAATAAATCTGTCCACAAACTCATTGTCTGAAAGCATGGATGCGATCAGATGCTGAGTTTGTGTAGAGACTAAGCCGAAGCTTGACATTTTTCGCGCGCAATTTACCACCTCATCATTGTAAGAATACACAATGCCAACTCTGAAGCCAGGGAACCCCATGTCCTTTGAGAGGCTGTAGACAATGTGAACAAGGTTGCGGTCGCATTCGATATCTTCCTCTATGATTTCTGCAATGCTTATGAAGCTTGGCTGGCTGAAGACAGTGGCAGCATATATTTCATCACTCACCAGGTGGATTTTCTTTTCATTGATGAAGGTCACTAGGCTTCTTAGAGTCTCTCTGTCTAGGACAGTGCCTAAGGGGTTTGAAGGATTGGTGATCAGCAAGCCCTTTACTCTGATGTTATCCTTTTGAGCTTTCTCATAGGCAGCCTCCAAGGCTGCTTTGGTGACTTTGAAACTGTTGGAGCTTTCACAAGCAACTGGAATAAGTTGCACCCCCGTTCGCCATCCAAGATCTCGATCGAAACTGCAAATAAATTCCAAAAAAAATTAGCAATTGCTGGAGAATGGATATAAGTTGTTCAAAGATTATTTCCCTAAATTTAAACTTTGCTGCCTTTAAACAGTTTCATTATAAAGTTTTTCACCAGGGAAAATTTGACCCTGCTTTGACTGCTTTTGACATGAGGTGGAAATCACTGAGCCACCATGAAAGGGTAAGAATTGTACACAAGTTCAGTGCGGCTAAGAATTCAACTAATTAGCTGGAACTGAGAAAGGGATCGATTCTTTTATAAATAAGTGTCCAAAGTCTGCACACTTGTAAACAGTCCTCTAAAGGGAAAGTGGACCTCATTTTCCCCAAGCATCTTTTTCCTTTTTGTCAAAATGTGATACGTATTGAATGGTTTCTAAGACAATCTGCTGACCCAGTTGTAATTGATCGTTTTCAGGCCCCCACCTAAGCTCAAGTTGGTCGAAGGTCATAGAGTTGTGATTTGAAATAAAAGTCAAGGTCCACTTATCAATTGCTAAACGTCTCATTATCATGCAAATGGCCTACATTATTAATTTAATCTTTCTCAAAAGAATATTAGAACATACCCTGGATAATAAGGAACAGGCACCAGAAATGCATCCCCAGGATCAGCCAAGCAGAAGGCTATCATCTCATGAGCTCCGGTTGCGCCTCCACTCATAACAATCCGGTCGGGGTCAAATGTGACTTGATTTCCTCTCGTTTTTCCCATGAAATTTGCAACAGCCTGTGGATTTATCACCCCAATAATTATGTCAGTATATAGCCAAATGTTAATGAAATATTGCTAGATTAAGGTAACAAATCAATGATGCTAATAAAAAGTGCATACATTTCTGAATTCTGGCAATCCATGATAATCCTGAAAGATAGCTATGTCTTTGAACTCATTTACTCCTGCTGCTGTGCAAATGGAGGCTTCTGGGTTCTTCAAAACCCACTCTTCAATCAAATCAAAGCATAGCTGCACACAGAAGAAGAGAAAACAAGAGTTAAGTAATTATGCTTTTCAAAAACCACCTAACTAACTTGGAAAAGAATGAAGAAAGGTTTCCTTTTTGGAAATTCTTACTTCATTTTCTGCAAGCCCCATCTGGATAACCCCATTAGGGTTCTTGGTGGGATGAAAGGGATCACTATCATAAGCCTTCCAGCCATCAAAGTATGGAGAGTTTTCACCATGCCCATTTCCAGTTGCCATCTTAGACAAGAGTTGCTGTTGGTTGCTCACAGTGAACCCCATTGTGTATATGCCTTAAAGATCCTTGCAATGCAGTGAGAAATATATCTATCAAAGTGTAAATTATTTATAAAGAGAAGAGAGGAGCAAGAGGGTCTAGTCTTTTGGGCAGTGCTAATGGTTTGCTTTGACCGCTATGCAAAGCCTAAAAGAGATAAAGATTTATGTAAGTTAGTTGAGGAATGACACTTCCTCAATGGTATTTATAGTAGGAAGCCTGGTCTGAGAGATGACTATGCAATATTAAGTTGGACTTTTGTTCTAAGGAAATGAGAATCTGATGAAGTTTCCTATGAAGGAGCACAATGGTCGCTTCTTTGAAAATCTTGGTTATAGTAGGTGGGTGTTTTGATGTTCATTTCCATGTCATAAATTATACTTAAGACTTTGAAGCTGAGCTGGGGAAAAGCACTTTCATGGTCACTTCCTTATGTAAAGGACAAAGCTTGTAAGTTAAAGTATCTCTACCGTCAGCCATGATGATCAATAAATTTCATGTTCCATATTCTGGATGGGTCTATATTTAGTCATGTTGGTGTTGGTGGCTCAGTACAAGCTATGATGTGTAAGTCCTATATCGGAGATTACAACAATAATAATCTACAGTTCAAATATAAGTGGTCCACTCCTAATTGCACTGAGACCTTTTAAATTAAAACCCTACACCTATGAGCCTAATTCAATTCATATATTGAGCCTAGGTGGTTAAGGTGAGGACAATATCGGTGCATATAGTAAACTCCTATTAAGTTAATTGGTACAACAAGTGAAATATATGAGTAGTTGACTCTTATTAGGTCCGTTGGTACAACAAGTCAAACCATCTTGTAGAGAAGATTGTAGCAAAACAAAATTCTATTAGTGAGTGGAATCATCCTAGCATGTTGATGTGGCACGACTAACCACTTAAAACCGAACTTGTGATCTCCTTTTAGACCCACCAAATTAGTACAGTGTAATGACGCGGTATGAATTATCATCGGAGTTTGTAGACGTGTCACTAGGGAATTATGTCACGTTATAAATTGTGAAACATTGCCATCATTCATTTACTAACCTAATAAGTATTAGAGGGCTCGTAATTCTCAATCAATTGCAGTCTTAAGTATAACTTGTAATGGTTAACATCTTGAAATCTTGATTTGTGCTTGAGTAAAGTTAATTGTAGTGGTTAGCATTTCCATTGGCAGCCCTATTTTTTCATAGATTACACAGAAAGACACTTACATTATGTTGAAACCAATTGTGTCCCACATCGGAAAGAGGGAAGGAGAAAGAGTACTTTAAATAGAATTACCCCACTCTAACTATCACCGAGGCCTTTTGTGATAAAACCCCACACCTGAGTATTGTGCAGGTGGTAAAGTGGGGACAGTATCGGTGCTGTTGGAGTGGGCTCTCGGTCGGTCGACCTGAAAATTTCCACATATTAATTCAAAGTTCCTCGTTTTATACCTTAAGGCTCAAGAATTCAAAAGAGAGCTCTGAATTCGCTGGTGGCCCGTCTAGAATGTTCAAATTTTGGCCCAATATATGGAAAGAACCTGAGAATTTATGCACCAGATTTTTATTCCACAAGTGGTTTAGTCTCCAAATCATGTGGAGGCAAAACAACAGTCTTTGACTGCAATTGTCTCCAGCACTTATACAAGTTCTTGCTGGAACCCACCTCAGCCTTGGAGTATGGGTGTTTGCCATAGATTTTTTTTATCATCAAACTAACATATTACGTTGTCAGACTGTCAATTTAAATTAACGTTTAGACACAAACATTGAGATGCCATGCAAAAGAGCAGGAAAGCCACCCTTCTGCTTTAGATTAAATAGTTAAAAACTTGAAAGTAGTAAAATTGAGATGTAGGGTTTTAGGTTCTTGTATGAAAACAATTTAACATATGGGTGGCTGTTATTGGAATTCTTATCCACCATGTGGGTGGCTATAACAAGATCAGGGCGTGAGACTTTCTTGGTCAGCTGCAGTTGTTCATAAAGACTGCAAGCTTAGTGATGCAGAGTGTGTCGTTGAACCGGCTTTGCTTTTGTTTGGTTATTTTCCATTCCTAGTGGAAATTATTTACCCTTTTTTTGGTCAAAGGTCATAGGTTAGAATGGTTCCTTCCTCCACGCGGGGAGTTGAAATTCCAATTCAAATCTTGCTTAAAATCTCACTAAACAATATAAAAAAGAAAAATTGCAGACCATTTTTTGCTTTGAAATGGTGAGTCCTGTTTAAGTCTCTGGCTCTGGCTTTCTGAGTTTGGAACAATTTGGTTAGGGAAATTCAAAGATTGTATGTCCTGCCCTCTCTTCCAATTTGGGTTTTATTTGTTCTTGAAAGGGGAATATTTTAAATCTTCTGTTCTGCTCTGTTCTGCGCACGTAAGTAACTGTGAGTTGTTGATGCATCAGGCATGTTAGTTGTCGGTTGAAGCATACTTCCACCCCTCGTGCTTTGAAATTAAAATTGGTGGACAAGATTCTAGTTTTTTCTGACTATCTTGTACCATATAACTCACGTGAAAATTGAGATAGATTCAGGTTGCATGCTATAAAGATAAAAGACTACAATGTCCCAATGGGATCAACGGCTTGATGGGAATTCCACTGGCTTCCACAATGTCCGCAAGGGTTCAAGCCATACTGCCATAGCTTGTGACCGTTTACTGCCTAAAGAAATAATCAAGAGGAAATTTGAGAAAATGACAGACACGATTTAAATTTGTTTTTCATTTTTATTTATAAACCTATCCTATGCCATTTTACTCTCTCATTTTTCTTTTTCTTTTTCATTGTTTATTTAAAACCAAATACAAAAACATTATAAAATGGATCTCAAAGTTTTCTTTGGTTAAGCCCAACGAATTGCGTTTTGCATCTATGTGGCTACCTGGCCATGGCACCCCTTAAAACTGAAAATTTTCATTTTTCAACTTTCTGAGGATGAACTTAAATAGTAAAACACCAATGGGTCTTAGATGGATTGGCCCATGCTTTTGGTGTACTCCCTAGTGGTCTTGGATTTAAGCCATTATTGTATCTGCGTGTGAGTTTACCCCGTCTCCTTCCAAAACTTTGGTTAAAAAAAAAAAAATTAATAGTAAAACCAAAACATTATGGCTAAGCTTAAAAGTTTTCAATATTTCCAACTGCATTCCAAAGTCGACTACGAAACCTGAAAAAAGCTTATTATGGTATAAATGCTTACGTTGTGCCTTAGAAAACCAAGTGAATTCAAATTTGGCAAACTAATAGTCCTTTGCATATTGTGCACGTGTTTGATCAGCAATAGTCATGGTCAATCAACATGCCAATACGACCAACATGACTGCTTGCTTGAAACAACCTGCCTAACTTTCAGTCCCAAATTTATGGGAAACTTAAGGTTTCAAGTCCAGAGCTCGGCCAAGGGCCAAACTTATCTGTTACCGTGACATCATCCGTCCCGATTCTATCATGACATGCTTACATGTTGTATTCTGACGATTTTTCAAAAAAATCCAAGGGGCAGAGAAACAACTTTTCATATATGTGATTTCAAAGAAACCCAGGAGAAAGAGAAAACACTTTTCATATATGTGATTCCAACCAAATTCACAGTTGTGAGATGAGTAAGCAAATTTGTTACCTATAAGCTGTGTAAGCAGAAAAGCAGCATACAACAGTCATGATAAACTACAATGATCACAATTTAAGAACTGCCATTAAAGGCCTTTTCTTACTTTCTCATAAGAAGAACCACAGTGTGAGCGGCAATACTTCGATTTTCTCCAAGGCTGTCCACCTTCTCATGAGTTTTAGCTTTGAGATTCACAACAGAGGGGTCTGCTCCAAGCAGCTTAGCCAAGTTGGCCCTCATAGTCTCCTTATGTGGGCTCAGTTTTGGCCTTTGAAGAATCAAAGTAGCATCTAAATTTCCAATCTCATACCCTGCCTCATGCATCAATCTCACCTGAAACAAGCAAAATAATAGAATATAAGGTTGATTAAATAATCGTTTTCACCAATCGCCATGTATGATCAATCATTCAACAACACATGGCCTGCTTGACTCATGATCGGACAAAAAGGTTACTGGAAACTTTGATACAATCTGAAAATCTAAGTTATATTCTAAGTATTGTTATTATTATTATTATTTATCTACCTACAGTTTCCATATTAAACTCAAAAAAAGTTTTTCAACTTAAAAAACCATGAAAATACATGTGGATTGGCCCATGACAAGTTTTGCAGCCAGGAATTAGGATTTGAGGCTTTAGACTCAGATTTTGAGTCCATGAGGTTGGAGGTGCTTGGGGCACGAGGTATCATGGCAGAGCAGAAAATCCATGAATTTGGCCCGAAGGGCACACATGCTCTCATACTCACCCAATGCTTGAGAATCCAAACTGGGGTTTGGGCTCTCTGCCTGGGTTCCAGGGCATGAGGCTCATGGTCAACATCCTGATATCTGGGGTCCAGGACTCATACAAGAAATTTGGCAGAGGGTCCATTACTTGAACTTGAACTTTGAGCCTATGATCCATGCCTCAAAGTTCGGGTCTAGGGGAACGTCAATGCCCTGGACTCATAATGTTTTTGAGTGGTTTCCAATCCAATCTTATTTGAAAGGGCGAACACAACCTTTTCAAGATTGTATCTAAAAAATAGTTTCTCACAGCAGTTTAATCAAATGTGTGTGTGTGTGTGTTTCTTTTCTTCTTTTCTTCTTTTCTTCTGCATTTACTGTATTCCTCAAAAACCAAAAATTGTATCAAGATCATGATTCAAACGAGCCCTCAACTAAATTGCTTAGTCTCACTTTTGCAGCTTCAATTTATGTACTTCACACAAAGTAGAGGGAACAAAGAAAGAGCCATTATTGGTTAATATCGTACCCCGCAAACATTCAGATTTTCCATCCAAAAGTTACAATTGATTAAAAAAATCTTCACCAAGAAACCAAAAACACAAATTTTCTGGAAATGCATGCTAACCAAACCAAAACTCAAACAAACCAAAAAACCAGTAAGAACAAGGAGGAGGATAGCTTACAGCTTCTCTGATGAAAACAGAGGAATCTGCACCGCGCCACTTAGGATCCGAATCCGGAAATATCTGCCCGATATCCGGAAGGCCCAGAGCCCCCAATATCGCATCCACCACACAGTGAAGCAACACGTCCCCTATAAACAAAATTGAAAATAAAAAATCGAAATAAAAAAAACAAAATTAACAATTAGAATTGCAGAATTACCATCGGAATGAGCCTCGCAGCCTTTATCGTGAGGTATGTTAATGCCGCCGATGATCAAAGGGTAACCGGGCTCCAACCGGTGCAGGTCGAACCCGTGCCCGATCCGAAAAGGCAAGACCTTGGAGGCGGCGGCGGAAGCTGGGGCTTGGTCAACCTCGAAGGCCGTGCTGGCGGAGGCAAAAACGACGGGCCTGCGCGTCGTTTGGGCGGCTCGGAGAGATAGAGAAGACGGGGTTCGAAGACTGAAGGGGTTTGGAGCTGTCAGGTTCGAGCGAGGAAGAGATCGAGAGAGTGGTTTGGTTGTTTTGGCAGTGGTGGTGGCGATTGAAGAGGCGTAGACGGGTGTGGCTACCATGGCCATTTCTGAAGGTTTGAAGCTCTGCCACACGAGTTGCTACGACGGCGTTTTGTGCTTTGCGGTTTCTGTCGAGTGTTGTGCAGCGCTGAGCTCAACTGTTCAAGTTCGCAATAACTAGCGGGACCCACGTGGGTTACATTTGTCTCCAGCGAAATCCAAGTGTGCACTCGCATATTCCCCAATTTGCCAATTTTTTATTTTATTTTATGGAATGGATTAACAAATCCAATGTATTTTGAGCTTAATTTCAACCATCCAATGTATTTTTGGGTTAATTTTAACCATAAACCCCATCTTTTCATCTTTGTTGGGAATTAGTGAGTAATATAGAAAGAATTGGGTATAAAAGGAAATGCCCAAAATAAGAAATCCCACGGATTATGGTGGAATGGGATATAAAAGGAAATGTTCATAAGCAATCCCACCTATTATGAAACCGATAATGGAAGAGGAAGATTCAGACACAAGACCTCGAATGTTATTATAAAACCGATATAAATCCTCTAGTGAATCTCAATGATTAATTAGGCACATTTTAATTTGGATGCATGTTGCCAGCTTACCATTATTGAAATTTTATTTTATATTTAATACAACTGATAATAGAGGAGGGAGATTCAAACACAAAACCTCATATGTTACCATGAATTGTTACTATGAATTGTCTAGTGAATCTTCAACGTTTAGTTAGGTAATTGATTTGGATGCATTTTGCCAGCTTGCCATTTTTGAAAGGGTGCATTTATGCTCACCACTTTAACTATAGGTGTACCCTCACCACTATCCTCAATGCTTGACACGTGTTCATATGTATAATCATGATTCCATAAATACAAAGCAAAAGTTAACTATAGTTATGTTTATGGACACGTGTCAAGCATTGAGGATGGTGGTGAGGGAATACCTATGATTAAAATGGTGAACAAAAATGCTCCCATTTTTTAAATGTAAAATTGCTAGATACGATGTAGATCGCTATACGACCAAACAGTAACTTATCCATCCTACTCGTATGTTTATTTGATATCAAGAGGGGAGAGATGTTTATATACGCATATGTGAATCAACAAATCACATGAAAATGTTAGTACACCTTTAAAACGTTTTAACAAGCCAAGAAAAAGACAGAATACTATGTAGCACATTGCTCTCTGGCATGCACCTTCTGAACCTGGAACCACCTTATACATGCATCTTCTGCGCGAAGAATGATTCCTCGCTCAAATGCGAGATAGAACTTGGACATATAGAGAACGATAACATAAAGCAAAGCATGCATCTAAATATTTAATTCCATTTAAGCTCTATAACTAGTTTATACACACATAGTTTACATGTATGGTTAAGCACCTTTCACAACAATGCGCAAGCAAACCCCTTTTGTCTAAGACAGGGCACACACCACGCATCTTTGACACTGACAAAACTATTCACATTGATCGGTATGTTTCCAATTTCCATGCAACATCAGTCGGGTCCCGTTGCCAGAAGCAGTTAAGCTTGTTTTGCATTATCTGAGACAGAAGCCCTAAGTTGCTTGGATCCATGCTCTGGTAAAAGATGTTCTGATGCAGCTCGCTTTTGTCTCAACTGCAATAAACAGTCCATGAAAAATCTAGAAGAAAGCCTCTCTCTCTCAATGTATGTCCGCAGTTGTGTGCAATGGGGAAAAGGGGACATAAAATGCTCATGTAATACTAATACTCACCTTCTCTTCATCATTCTGATACATGTGCCTCAAAAGAATATTTTTGGTTTCGGTAGTTATCACTGCAAAGGGGTTCAGACAGGTTAATTTCACTTTGTGAAACAGCACGATTAGCAAATTGCTAATCAATATCAAGAGTAACTGGAATAGGCCTTTCTTAAAGAATCATGAGTTGTTGATACAGGAACTAAGCAATAATACAACACGTAAAGGACACTTGATTACCAGCCAATGGGTAAGGATCCAGAATGAAACAATGATGAGATACAAAGTTTTCATTATTACCTTGATCAGGTGGGGGAAGGGTCCGGCTGTGAGTTGGATGATAGGTAGCAGGTGTCATTTTCTACAGACAAATGGAAGCATGATTTTAAACAAAGAAAGAGAATGCGTTTAATTCTGATCTATTTGCATCATAAACCTAACTCATGACATGTTCTTTTTGTTTCCTTTTTAAAATTTGTGGTTGTTGAAAGAACAAGCGAATAGCAAATTTTGCATTAGTTAAATCTGTTCAAATTCTGAAGATCCGTGAGCGCCTGAGCGACGTACAACAATCTATAAATAGTACGTAAGCTATGAACTTTCCATCTTAATCTGGATTTGGGACCAGAAATAGGTCCAACAATAAAGCACCCAGAACTCAACAGCTGTAAATGATAACTTCATAAAATTATTAGCAGAATATAAGCTAAACTGCAGAATAGTCTGGTGGTTTTGGAACAGAGAGACATTTTCCATCAGATAGGCCTGTTTCACCACATCAACACTAATGAAGCTAAATGATGGTTCATACACACCAGAATGTATGTTTTAGAAACATCACTAAGCAACCTTCTACCAGGAATCCTGCTTCTCTCTACAAGGTGGCTAGACTTAAAAGTTTTGCTCTTCGGTTCATCTCATAGCACTGAGTCCTACTGTAACACAGAATCTTCACCTTAACTTTGGGAAATGCTATTATTCTTAAGTATTCGGAAGTAATGTATAAATAGAATTTATAAGTAGAGAACAAAATTTTTCAGACTTCCTCACCATATTTCTATGTTGATAACATCAATGAATATGTCCTAGTGGCCCACAATGTCAGCCCAGTTGGTTTGAAACAAATCCAAGATTCAGTTACCAGGCTAGCATGCATCAACCATTTTTGGAAACACTTAGGGTTTTTCAAGCTTCGAATCTCATTTCAATGACATTGCTGCAACATCATTTACCATAAAATAAAAAAATAAAAAAGAAGCAAAATCTGCACTAAAATCTATCTTTTTGGATGCACAAACAAAAATCATTTCAAACTTCCCATAAAATTCAAACCGGGTCTCGAAATTTTCTGATGGAAATAACAGGAAGCCCTTACCTAGAGCTGAACAGTATCATAAAAAGCAGAATCTTTTTTTCCCACAACAACTCAGTTCAGAACAATCAACAACTTCAGCAATTTCACCATAACAGATGTACAAAACCAAACAAAAAGAAAGCAAAGAACTTAACAGGTAAAGAAAAATCAAAGCTTTGCATGTTTATATACAGCTTAAAATAAAAAGAATGGCAAAATGGGTTTGATTGAGATGCTGAAAACTCACAGAAGGAGTGGAAGGATCGGAGGGCCGGAGCTGGCTGAAGTTGTGAGGGTCATATGACGGCCAGTCACCGAACAAAGAGCCCATGGAATGCACCTAATATCTAGACACCCCCCGATTCTAGAACCAACCTCAAAGCAGACACAGAGAGAGTTGCATATGTTCGCCACATCTTATATAGGGGAGATCACAAGATGATCTCAGCCATCCATCTAGTTATCCAATAAGATCTTTACACTTGGCTATGAAAATAAAGGAATAAAAAATATTGTTTTAACTAACTCCTAAATCAGCTTAAGAGCTTATAATTCAACATTCCCCTTTAAATCTTGAGCTGATTTAACTCCAATCAGGCTCCTGAGATAATTGAACCAATCCTTAGCCAATGGCTTTGCGAAGATGTCAGCTAGTTGTTCACTTGTAGGACAGTACACCAAGTTAATAATTCCTTCTTGTAGTGCATCTTTGATAAAATAATACCTTTGATCAATGTGCTTTGTCTTCTGATGAAACACTAGGTTCTCTTCGTTCCACCCCATTGTCCTAACTTCTAATTAGTAAAGGAATATAAAGTCTAATAAAATTGATTTTACTCTTTTTTATTTTTTTTATTTTTAAGAATTACTATTTGAATACAAACAATATTCTACTTTAATTTAATCTAAATTATGAGAAGGAGAATTCACTCGGGATGCAGAATGAAGAGCACTTCCGCTCTAGCCAAATTGATCCATATATGCTAAGAATTACTACTTTACTTATCAGATCATATTGCCAACATAAGAATGAAAATGACAATATGGGTGTCAATATAAAAATATACCTTATATTGTGGTTGTTTACCCTTCTAGACTTCTATATGATGGCTTGATGATTTCCTTTTCCCTTTCGAACTCGATCTGCATTTTTAGCATGGATCTTAAATCTTTCACTCTAATATTTTAATAAATTAGAAAATTAGGGTAGACGAAACTGGTCCAAGGCTCAAACCTATCCAGGTAAAATGTCATGCCTACTTTTTTGTTCATTTCTTTGGGTTATTAATTAGCTATTATTTTAATGATATGTTATTAATATAGATAATGTTGAAATATGTCCAAGTTTGGATCCAACGTTTTTTCTATACAAGTGATACCGGAAGAGAGGGTTTATAACATAAATAAAAGTCTTGTAAAAAAATAACTATTCTTAATCACTTAATTATAACTCTTGCCGAAAAGAAAAACCCTTTGTTATTAGTGGGCTTATTGCCATTCCAACCTTCCACTAGGTTTGGTTGGGTCAAAGCACATGTGAGTCATGAGCCCAAAACTCCGGCAACAAAGAAAAGTAAAGAAAAGAAGTGGGGATTGGTGAGCGCAACGACGTCGTTTTTAGAGTGGAACACCGAACACCGTACGGTCCCTCAGTTCCTCTATTAGGTTGGAGCTTAGCTCCACAAGCCTCCTTCTCTTTACTCCTTGACCTCGGGAAACAGAGAGAGACGCAGAGACGGCTGCAGATCGTGGCCGGTGGGTCGGAGTCAGATAAGCAAAAACCAAACATGGCCGCACCAGAAGCCCCTCTTTGCTATGTCGGTGTGGCCAGAAAATCTGCTGCTTTCCGCCTCATGAAACAAATGGTGCTCCTCTCTATCTTCATAAACCCTACATGTTTTGTTGTTGTTTTTCCCTACATTTAATTGGGGAATGGTTTTTCAATTTATTTATTTTAATTGTGTTGTTATATAGGGGTGGGAAGAAGGAGAGGGGCTTGGGAAAGACAAGCAGGGGATCAAAGGCTATGTTAGAGTCAAAAACAAGCAGGACACTACTGGTTGGCTTCCTCCTTATGTTATTTTTACCATTTCAGTTTTTGTTTATTCAGTGTTTTGCATGTTTGTTTGCTTTGTTGCTTGGTTTGAGGTAGGAATTGGAAATGCCAATAATTTTTTCAAGTTTTTTGGTGAATGGAAACAGCAAACTTATATAGATCTTTGTGTATGATTTTATTGAATAGGTGTTGGTGTAGAGAAGCCCAACAATTGGGCATTTGATACAACCCAATTTGATAGTATCCTCAAAAGATTGAAAGTGGTAAACTTTATGAATTTTGTCTTCTTATTCAATCCATTTCAAACGTATTTTGAGCTTTCGATGCGTCACTCTTTATATTTATGTGTTTTTTTGTTTTTTTATTGGCAGCAATCAGCGGAACCTAGCGATGAAGGTATATTTTGCTTAGATTAACTTGGTTATTGTATGTTATGAACTAGTAGTTTGAGGAGTATTGTCTTTGTTTTCTTATAGTTGCTGGGAAGAACACCACTCAAGTGGAAAGTGATACTGAATTGCCTAGGGATGTTAAGGAACCAGTTGCGAAGTTTACTCGGCCACAGGGAAGGTTGGTTGAATTCTTTTAAGATATTTTATTTTTGATTACTAGCTGTTTCACTAATGCTAAATCGTCTCTGTCTTTTGTCTATGATAATCAGATATAAGAAAAGAGAAAGAGGAAAGCTTGTTAATGCTTATTCTGCTAAGGATATTGAAGGAATCCTTGTAAGTTCCAGATTATTTTTTGCAAAATGAGCATATACGTGGTTTATGAAACCTGAATGCAAGGTCTAAGTTCATTATGGGCATGCATTATGTCATTGCTGACTGTGATGATTCATGCACGATGCAGGTCAGAAGGGCGGAGTCTCCAGAGATAAATTTTGATCTGGGTGGAGAAGTAGAGTCAGAGAAGGCATCTGAGATTCAAGTTATATGTCCTCCTGAAGGTAATAGTCTGGAAAAGATATATATAGGAGGAAGTTAACCTTTTAGTATTTCAAATGATGAGTAGACTTTTATGATCAAGGGATCCAATACCTGATCTTCTTCTTCTTCTTTTTTATTTCTTTTAACTTCACATTTAGGACTTTATTCTTGGGTATCCATATTTATGTTGTATGAATTTGGTTGCGCATTTCCTTCCTAGGTATTAATATCTATGTTGCCTAATTTATTTAAGTGAATAATACTATATTATCTAGTGCTTTCTTTCATTCCTTAAAGAATATTCCTAACGATTTAGCGCCAAGGCTTTTGAAACACCATTGAATTTCTGATGCTTGATAGACTTACCTTGGTAACCTTTATTGAGAGTGCTCAAGGTGAACCCATAATCCCATAATAAGTATTTCACTTGTGCAGAAAGCATCTAAAGTTTAGTATCAGATTTTACTGTTTTAACCATTAGTTGATTGGATATGTAATTCTTTTTTAAAAAGAAAAAGGATTTTCTGTGCAAAAAGTTAATTAATTTTTTGTAGATTAAGCTGATTTTGCTTCTTTTTTTTTTCTTTCATACTTGTACTCTTTGGTTCCTTGTTAGAACCTTTTTTTTTCTTGTCTAACAATCTTATCACATTGTTACAGGAAACGCATGTAAAGAGCTTCCTCCAAATTGGTGGGGCCATAAATATGGGTTCATCCCTGGAGGTTTGCTTGGAGCAGAGTTGAAAAGAAGAAAATCAGAAAAGTCTCAAAGTAATGAGAGGACTATGTTTTACGAGGACGATCAAGTAAATCTTTACAATCTTGTTCAGGTATGTACTTTCCTGGTTGGATCTCTTTTCTTTAACATATATTATCTTAAAGAGTTGTATAATTGTTTGTCATGCAATCGGAATCCTAGTTGCTTAATGCTTGTAACATCTAAAAATGAAGTGACTGCAGTGACTGGTGAAGCATAACTAATATTTACACAAACAGTTTTTTATATTGATGTGAATTTCCTTATTGCTAGATAGGTGACTAGAGTGCTATGAAAAAGTTATTTAACTGAATTGGTAAAAGATTGGAATTGTGTTATTGGTTAGACCATTACTGTGTGTGCCTTATGTTTTCAGGATAAATCTACAACTGGAAAGCAAGGACTAGGCATTAAGGATCGTAAAAAGAAAATAGCTGGTTGCTACTTTGAGGGAAAAAAGACATCATTTAACGATAGTGATGATGAAGATTCTGCTGATCTTGGATCTCCTGTGAAACAAAATGGAGATGACTCTTTGAAAATGGGAAGTGCCAATGAACCAAAAGTAAAGCTGAAAAATCTTTGTAAACAGCTCCTTCGTCAGGTGAGTCCTCCAAAAATTGCACTTTTGATTTTCAGAATTTCCCTGGCACTAATTGTTGGCCTGTTCCCAGGCACCTGGAGAATCATTGAAGCTTAAAACATTGAAAGCTTTGATCGACGAACATTCATCTTCTGTTTTCTCCAATTTTTCTTCAAAGAAAGATGCGCTTGCTTACTTGAGAGAAAAGGCATGCAACCAAGTTACTTTGAAGCAGTATTCATTTTTTTTCTTTTTGGTAATCAGGCAGTAATCTTGTGTTTGCAAAATGGTTTGCCTTCAAAAAGAAAATATCATTTTGACCCCTGCTGCATCACTGAATTCTCACAATATGTTCTCTTTTCTTAAATGTATTTATCATATTTTCTTGTCTGTGCAGCTGGAAGGCAGCAACAAGTTCATGGTGGAAGGAAAAAAAGTGAGTCTCACATCGAGGAGGGGCTGAAGATTTTGTTAGAGATATTGAGAGGTCACATTCTTTTACTTCGACGATTTTGAGACTTCTGCATTGTGATATGTACATTGCAGCCGAGTCTAGTTTATAATCAAAATTCATATAGGTATGCCCTTTACTAGTTTTGTTGTAGTGATCAGTCGAAAGTAAATCAAAGCGCCATTTGCTTTGTATTATTTGTGTTAAATCTGAGCTGCTATAAGGATGAAACTCTTGTAAACAGTAATTCCAGAGTTTGCTTATTATTGTGATGTTTAAAATAAGATAAAAAAGATTCAAATCAATTCTGTCGGAGATTTGGTGTTGTCATTCTCTTAATTTCTTGTTTCTATCGTAGGGGTGAGCATCCCTCTCAACAATACACAGTTTCTGATAGGCAACTATAATGAAATAGTAGCTGCTGTTAGATGTAATTGGCTTGCACAATTTTCTTTGCTATGAACTTCCCCAAGTAATCATATCCATGAAAATACAGAGCTTCAATTTCTGCTCTCTGACCACTTTCAACCATGAATGTCAACTCTTCTCTGTAATTCTCCTGCAATACAGATTTTTTCAGGACCTAATTTTACAAATACCAAAAACCTTGATTTTTTTCGTAACGTTAAAGTAAAATGCCATGAGATTTAGGGTAAATAGTTCACCTGCAAAATCTCCGAGGACATCAAGCTTTTAGCAATTTGGAGGTCCTTCGGCTTCAATGGAACTAAAGCATGTTCGGGTATCAGCTCTAGGTCATCCCCACGCACTCCCAACCACTTCACATTGCAAGCTAGAACACGCCATAAACCAACCCACCTTTGTAAGTTTATTTCTACATAAGTAAAAATTGTATTTCAGCAACATATAAACAGAAGGTGCACAAAATAGCTAACCATATCTGTAAGCCTCCAGGCCCATCCCTATACTTCCAAACTTGAAGGTGCACAAGATAGCCAACCCAGCTGGGTTCCTTCAAAAAATTTCTAGCAGTCAAAAAGATGAGGGCTTGCAACGTAAACAATCAGAAGTGACAAGGAGAGGGCATCCATACCAGTCAACTAGTGCTAAAATTGGCAAGTCAGGAAATGCCCGGCTCATCCGGTGAAGAAGAAGCCTACATTCAAACAATGGCTAAGGCATACATGATTGAGTCTATTAGGGTATCAAATCTTCAATTAAATTGAGGAATTTGTTGTGGGATTCAAAGCAAAAAGCATCGACAAGTTGAACTCGGCTCCAACTGACCTAATTACCTTGTGGCAATATCAGGGTACCCTTTGGCAGTGATAAGAATGCTAGGAATTTGGTTGAACACACGGTCGTCCACCAACCGCTGGAATATTGCATGCTATTCATATCCAAGTAAATCAATATTGTTGGAAAGTCAAGAAGCTGACAAGCTATCATAATCTTAGTCAGACACACAGAAGCTCAATAAGCAAATACCTTCTCCACCACAATGATGTACCTTGCATCGGTCTTCATTATCAAACTATCAATGGAACTCAAGTCACCAGAGATACCATGCCCGGAAAATCCACAGGCAGCACAATCCACAACCCCTTGGTTTGGCTCCTATAACAAGACTAATCCAATTAAGCCTCTCTGTGCATATTAAATTATTGATAATCTGCTAATTAATTAAGTAGCCAATTTCTCCACAACCATTTAATACAGATTGCAAGGATGGAGTACCTGCAAAAGCAAACGGCCGGCTACAAGTCCTCTGCTAGACGCCATGATTCCGAGACTATAACGGCTGCAGCGAAGCAATGCCACTACATCTGTACCAATATAAGTAAAATTTTAGGCATTCCATTTGTTTGGAAAAAGTCCCAAAAGATTGAAACAAAACCGAAGTTGGTACTGTTGAATTGTGATCACCTTGGACAGTCCGATTGACCTGCGATTGAGACGAGAAATAATCCGGTGAATCGCAGAGCAACTTGTAGAAAATCTCCCTCTGCGTGACCTTCTTCTCTTGACCCAAAATCTGAGAGCACATCGCCATCACCTTCCACACTGTTACAGTGAATCACACATGAGAAATCGAAACAGACGCTGCTAAAATCCATACAATTAATTAACCAATTGAGAAATTAAACCTCTGATGAAGGCTTTGGTGGCATTGGGTCGCGCGAGAGACCTGGTGGAGAAAGCGTTCGTTAGGAAAATCCATGAAGTTTGAGTCAACAGGCCTTGGCTGAGTCGGCTGTTGCTTGATTTTCTTGCGACCTGTGGATTTTTCTTCAAGTTATTTTGTGTTTGGTTGGCGAGAAAATGAGAAAGAAAGTTGTTGAAATGAGAATGAAATGCTGAGTTAGTTAATAATTACGAGAGGGAGGTCGGAGATTGCAGGAGCTGGAGAGGTCAAGATCCGGAGGAAGTTGAGGACGGCGACTTGGATTCTGGCGATGACCTCCGGAGGAGAGAGGACGTCGGCATGGCAGAGGTGTTGATCGGAGAAGAAGTTCAACGAGGATTTGCAAGCTTCTTCCATTTTTGGGGCTTTTGGATTTGCTGCTATTTGAGAAATTCAATTTATCATTTTAAAGATTTAGACTTGGCGCGCTCCAGACATGTTCCAACGACGTCGTCTGCTTGCCAAGCTTGAATTAATAGATACACCGTCAGATTGAATATCACAGGAAAATGTCACCGTCAGATTAAACGGTAACCCCTTGAATTACTCTGTATTTTTTTTTTGGGTTTTGGGCTAAAGTTAGGAAAGTGGAGGGGTTTTTCTCACACAGCACGAGTCATTCTATGATGAGGGTGTCATATATGGATCATAGATGTGGACCTAAGGTGTCATGTGTTTCAAGCTTGAGATCACTAGTCTACAAGTTAATGCTTGGCTAGACTCTATGTAAGATTTCATGACAAATCAAAGGAATATTTGGAGGAAAAGATGGAGTGATTTACTAAGCGGTTGTTTCAATTTTCAAATTTTTTTTAAAACTAAAGACTAAAAACATGTTTGGTAATAGATTTTGTTTTCAGTTAAAAAAAAAAAGTGAAATCTAATTTTTAAAATCACCATTTACAAAAAATAAGAACTAGTTTTTTGCACTCCTTTCTCATTCACCAATTTTACATCACTACACATGCATTGCACTCCAGTTACTAAAATTCGGTGTTTAGGACCTCCCGACTTGGACCCGACTGCTCTCGACTATTGTGTTCAATTATGGACCCAGTCTAAGCCTCGAGACCTCCATATCCAAAATTCATCCAAAATTCATCCCAACTCCAAAAAATTCACCGAAAAATACTACGAACTCTTTGTAGCATGCACTTTCCTTGGAAAAATTCAATTTCTAAGTTCCATATAAAAATGAAAAATGAAAAAAGTTATCAAACAACTTTAAACAGTTTTTAGTTTTCAATTTTTTGAAAACTAAATTGGTTACCAAACAAGTTATCTGTTTTTAATTTCTTAAAAATGAAAAATTGAAAAACTAGAAACTAAAAAATGAAATGGTTATCAAACAGGTAAGAGAGTGTTTTTTTATTTCTTCCAAAGGGGGTTTTTTTTTTCTTTTCAAATTTGTATTCAATTATCGAATTGCTTTAGATCCCTAGTGTCCTACAAACTAGAGTAGATAATGGGTTACTAGGCTTAATTTGGGTGGGCTACTAACCTTATTTGAGGTTAACTGCATTGAAAACATAATAAAACATTTCTAGTGCTTTTATCCTTTTTATCAAAAAAGCTATAGGGCTAAAGCCCATTGTTGCTAGAAAGCTACACATAAAAAGTGTGTCCCAAATATATTCCCAGAAAAGTTATTCTATAGTGAGGGTCTTATTTATGGCCCTTAAATGAGGTCCTATATCTTAAATGTTAAATCAGGCTAATCAATTTGATCCGATGACTAACCAATTTGATCCAACAGTTAAGAGATATGACCTCACCTAAAGACCATATATAACTACAGAATTCTTGATTCCCAACATATTGAAATTACTACTTATATCTTTTAAACAATGTTAAAGAGAACTATAAGGAGGCTTGGAGGACCATTTTAAGTTGTGCGGCTCCGCCCCAACCTATTCCTAAGAACAAGTTTATTCAACAAACAATTAAATGAGTCGTATAGTATGAATGAATGAACCACCAAAATAGGGTTGGGCTCAATAGTATCTAATCTCCACTTTGTTGAAAAATATTCGGAATCTTACAACGATTTCTTCTAATCCTCATTGTTCAGGCTTATTGGATCATTGTCATGAAAGGGTGGAAGGGGAACTTTTATATGATCCATACAACAAAGGTTATATTGCTCAACCATCAACCTTAGTTCTCTTCAAATACCCTAAAAAAATAAATATATTACCGCTCACTCTTGTCCTAATTGTTAGTGTTTTCTGATGTGTGTAAGTGAGAGTGACGAAAGGAGAGAAGAAGAGAGAATGAAAATGTCAACTACTCTGCTATATTGAAGCAGAGGAATATTCTCTTCTATTTCATTGCAACCTTACTCACTTGGAATGAGGAATATAACCGTTAGGCACAGGAGCTGGATCTCTTACGTCATCACAAGATGATCTCAGCCATCCATCTAGTTATCCAATAAGATCTTTACACTTGGCTATGAAAATAAAGGAATAAAAAATATTATTTTAACTAACTCCTAAATCAGCTTAAGAGCTTATAATTCAACATTCCCCTTTAAATCTTGAGCTGATTTAACTCCAAGCAGGCTCCTGAGATAATTGAACCAATCCTTAGCCAATGGCTTTGCGAAGATGTCAGCTAGTTGTTCACTTGTAGGACAGTACACCAAGTCAATAATTCCTTCTTGTAGTGCATCTTTGATAAAATAATACCTTTGATCAATGTGCTTTGTCTTCTGATGAAACACTAGGTTCTGAAAAAAGTTATCAAACAACTTTAAACAGTTTTCAGTTTTCAATTTTTTGAAAACAAAATTGGTTACCAAACAAGTTATCTGTTTTTAATTTCTTAAAAATGAAAATTGAAAAACTAGAAACTAAAAAATGAAATGGTTATCAAACAGGTAAGAGAGTGTTTTTTTATTTCTTCCCAAGGGGTTTTTTTTTTCTTTTCAAATTTGTATTCAATTATCGAATTGCTTTAGATCCCTAGTGTCCTACAAACTAGAGTAGATAATGGGTTACTAGGCTTAATTTGGGTGGGCTACTAACCTTATTTGAGGTTAACTGCATTGAAAACATAATAAAACATTTCTAGTGCTTTTATCCTTTTTATCAAAAAAGCTA